TCTTCTTCTCAGCGATAACAGACGGCGCATTAATCATGCTAGCCGAGAGGTGCTGCTATCTAGTCTGAGGGGCGCAATTTTCAAAAACGTACGGAACCAAATTTCCTTGTTTCTTAATCATTTCTAAAGATATTAACGATGTGAGACTGCTTGCTGAGTGACTTCTTATGTTACAGCAAGTTTTTTTTGTGTTTAAGATGAATCTTCCACAAATATTTCCTCTAATTCTGCATCCTAGTAAATTTTTGGCCTTCCACTGCGATCTTTGTCTTCTACGTCGAAATAACCGTTTTTAAAATTTTAAAACAATTCACGACACGTTCTTTCGCTCAAAACAGTCTCACCATATGCTTCTACGAGCAATCAATGCGCCTTAGCAGCAGATTTCTTTATATTAAAGAAGTAAACTAATATTTCGCGCAAATGACTCTTATCTGGCTTAAATTTGGACATTTTCAACTAAAAAACATTATATTTTACCAATAAGAAATCAATAATATTAATAAGTTATGTTGTTCTTAAACGTCCAAACTAATTATTAGGCAGGATATCATCTGCGAAAGTTAACAGAAACTCTGCGCCGCGCTATCTACATTAAAGAGTCGGAAACTTACTTGTACACCTAATAGTAAAATAATTTTTTTCTGTTTTCTTTTACTGCAGTTGTTGTAAAATAAATAATATGTGCCAGATTTTATTGGCTCGAACACTTTTCATTTGTTTGTATACGCTTTAAAAATTGATAGAAAATTTCTTATAGCTTTTGTTATATAGCTCTTTTTTAGAAATTTTATAGTTTTTAACTATAGTTTTAATCCAGAAAGTAGCAAAAATTTCTTTTTAAATATACTAAAACTTTTTTAGCAACAGTACAAATGTGCTACTTGAAACAAAACAGAATTGACGTCAGGTTTACTACAGTCGAGTCTCGTTGAAAAAGAATTGAATTCCTTACGTAATGTAACCAAAAAATGTTGTAATAAAATGATTTTTTCTCTTTTTTTAGACTGCAGTTTTTAAAATATAAATGTTATTTGCTAGATTTTATTGAACCAAACACTTTTCAATTGTTAGTATACGCTTTTAAACTTAAAAAAAAATGTTTTATAGCTTTTGTTATATAGCATTTCTTTAGATATCTTATAGTATTTACTTACAATTAATCTAGAAAGAAGCGAAAATTTTTCCTAAATATATTGAAAAGTTTTAAGCAAAGATACAATGTGCTATTATTTTTCATAACAGAATGGATGTTTGGTTGACTACAATCGAGTTTCGACGAAAAAGAATTGAATTCTAAACGTAAAGTAACAAAAAAATGTCGTAATAAAAAGATTTTTTTTCTTTTTCTTGACTGCAGTAGTCCAAATATAAATAATGTCTGCATATTTCTTTCGGACTTACCACTTTTTATTTGTAAGTTTACGCTTTAGAGCTTGAAAAAAAACGATATATAGCGTCTGTTAAATAGCACTTTTTTAGATTGTTTTTCATTTTTAACTACGCTTTAATACAGAAAGTAGCGACAATTTCTTTTTAAATATAACAATACATTTTTTGCAATGGTAATAATGAACTACTAGAAACAAAACAGAATGGACGGCAGGTCTACTACAAACGAGTTTTGTTAAAATGAATTAAATTCTTCACGTAAAGTAACAAAATAAAGTTGTAATAAAATGATTTTTTCTCTTTTTTTGGACTGCAGTTGTTAAAATATAAATGTTATTTGCTAGATTGTATTGGACCAAACTCTTTTCATTTGTTAGCATACGCTTTAAAACTTGAAAGAAACGTTTCATAGCGTCTGTTAAATAGCACGATTTTAGATTGTTTTTAATATTTAACTACGATTTAATCCAGAAAGTA